ACATCCCATGCCTCTTCCTCTTAGTTCTTTATTCTTCCTCTGCTACTCCCAGTTAGATTCGAAACTATAAGTAGATGGTATTTCTCCCATTTTGCTTTCTGGGGCACTCTTACTGCCTGAAAGGAAAGGAGGTGAACTGTCACTTAAATGTTTTAAATACACTTTCTTTCCTATGAAGACTTTGAGATTTTCTCTTTCTGCTTTTTTATTTAGATACAGAAATTAATTGATTTTGGTGTGTCATTTGTTTGTAATCTAGCTAGATAAATACTTGACAGTGACTTTGTTCATCAGACTTAGAATTCATTTGTTAGCAATATAATTATTTTTCTTATAAAAATAATCATTCTTAGGTGAGGTTAAACTCAGACCTGAAGCTAGAAAACGACTTCTAAGCTATATAAATGAAGAACCACAAGATGCTAATGGTTATTTCAATTTGGGAATGCTTGCTATGGATGACAAAAAGGACGCTGAAGCAGAGATTTGGATGAAGAAAGCCATAAAATTACAAGCCGACTTCAGAAGTGCTTTGTTTAATCTGGCTCTCCTGTATTCTCAGACTGCAAAGGAATTAATGGCTTTGCCAATATTGGAAGAGTTACTCAGATACTACCCAGATCATATCAAGGGTCTCATTTTAAAGGGAGACATTCTGATGAATCAAAAGAAGGATATACTTGGAGCCAAAAAATGTTTTGAGAAAATTTTGGAGATGGATCCAAGCAATGTGCAAGGAAAGCACAATCTTTGTGTTGTTTATTTTGAAGAGAAGGATTTATTGAAAGCTGAAAGATGCCTGGTTGAAACGTTGGCATTAGCACCACATGAAGAATATATTCAACGCCATTTAAATATAGTCAGAGATAAGATTTCCTCATCTAGTTTTGTAGAACAGCCAATATTCCCAACTGGTGAGACTTCAGGTATCAAAGGAGACAAAATTCCAACTGAAAATATAAAAGAAGTCAGAAGTGAGCCCAAGCCCACACAGACCATAAAAGCAAGTGATGATAAAGGTCAGTCGAAATCCAACACACAACTAGGAGAAAATGCAGACAAAGAGACCCCCCACAAAACAACAAAAGAAATCAAAGACATTGAGAAGAAAAGAGTTGCTGCTTTAAAAAGACTAGAAGAGATTGAGCGTATTTTAAATGGTGAATAGTATTACTATTTATCATGTTAAACAGTGGTATCAAAGAACTTCAGTCTGTATCATGTGATTGTACTGGGAGCTTTGAAAAATAGCAAGAATACGTAACAGTCTATCATGAGTTTCCTTTACATAGGATCAAAATAAGATTTTCATTGACCTATTTTAACCTA